TACCTGCTCACGCCGCGCCTCCGCAGCCTGCGCACGGCCTGCTGCTGCCCTGCGCGCTACCTGCGCTGCCTGCGGCTGCCTTGCGCGCCGCCCTTGCTGCTCGTGCACACATAGTCTCTCTTTGCCTGCTGCCTGTGCCTGCTGCCTTTGCCTGCTGCCTGTGCCTGCTGCCTGTGCCTGCTGCCTTTGCCTGTTGCCTTCGCCAACTACCTGCGCTGCGATTATGGCGACGCTTAATGTTCTCGCGTTTGAGCCTGACGGTCGCCCGATAGAATTCGCCACGTGGCTCGACGATCTCCAACTGTTTCTTATGACTAATGCCAAAGACAGCGTTTCACTGTTCGATGACACGTCTGCCACTGCCGTTTCTCCTGCTGACGATGCTCCCGCTCTCGACCGCTCACAGTGGCAGACTCGCGATGCTGCTGTGCGCCTAGCTATTCGAAATCATATGCCGATCACTGAGCGCTCGCATTTCAGCCAGCACAAGACTGCTAAGGCTCTGTATGACGCTGTAGTTCTGCGCTACTCCTTCCCAGCCACTGCAGCCCTAGGCCGGCTCATGCTACCCTACCTGTTTCCAGACCTGTCCTCGTTTACCACTGCAGAGGACCTCATTTTTCACCTTCGCGCTAGTGACACTCGCTTTCGTGCTGCCCTTTCAGCCGAGTTCCGCGCAGAGAAAACCCCCCCCCCCCCCCCCCCCGATGTACTTTACTCTCTACTTCCTCGTCACCCGCCTCCCTGACACTCTTAGCTTCGTCAGGGACCACTTCCTCACCTTAGACCCTACCACTCTCACTGTGGCCGATTTCGAGAAGCACCTCCTAGCAGCAGAGAAGAACATCCTCGCTGTAGGTGCTGCTCGTGGCACTCCTCGCACTCCCCTCTTTGAGGGGTGCTCCCCCTCCCCTCTTGCCCCCTCCTACGCCTCTGCTGCTGCTGCTGTCGACTTCCTTGGTGCTGAGAAGGTCGCAGCTGCTTCCGCTCCTAGTGGGAAGCGCAGCGGCCCTTGGGGAGGCAGGGGCGGCAGGGGAGGTGGAGGTGGCGGTGGAGGGGGCGGTGGTGGAGGCGGCGGGGGAGGTGGAGGTGGTGGGGGTGGTCGTGGGGGTGGAGGTGGTGGTGGGGGCGGCAGTGGTGCCAGGAGCAGTGGCGGTGGCAGTGGCGGTGGTGGCGGATGGGGGAGTGGTGGTGGCGGCGGTGGTGGGGGCTGGGGTGAGACCGGCCAGACTGGGGGCTCCAGTGGTGGCCAGGGGCAGCAGCAGCAGCAGCAGCCGCAGCAGCATCGTCAGCGCCAGACCCCCACTTTTCAGCAGCTTCATGACTGGTATGCCGAGCGTGGGGCGTCTGGGGGTCCTGGTCGCTGCCCTTATATCATTTGCACAGGTCCCCGAGTACCGCTGCTTCGCTCGTCATAGCGACGCCTGGCGCGCCAAGTTTCCTGATGCTACTGAGTTCCCCAACTGGGCAGACCTGCTTAGGCGTGATGTTCCTATCTTTGATCTTGACTATGATGCTATTCTTGCTGCCATGTATGCATTGACTGTTAGTGCTGAGGGTGACTGCTACTTGTGTGTGCCGCCTGACCCCGGTATAGACCCAGGTATAGCGCCTGCAGCCCTAGGTGCTAGTGAGTCTGCTCTCCCTGGTACTGCGTCCGCTCAGGCCTTGCACACCTTTACACTTGACTCTGGTGCTTCCCGCTGTTTCTTTCGCGACAGCACCACAGTCACCTGGCCACGTTCACACGTGCGCCTGGGTCCAGTCTGTACACCCTCACCACTACGTCGCGCTACACCCCTATGTCTCCTCAGTTGTACGCGTCTGCTCAGGTAGCTACCCAGTGTGAGTGTCGTCGCCTGTCGCACCAGACTCTCCTTTGGCACCACCGCCTTGGTCACCCCTCCTTGCCTCGCCTGCGTGGCATGTACTCTCGCTCCCTGGTCTCTGGTCTTCCCAGGTCTCTGCCTGCCCTCCCTCCCTCGCCTGCGCCGCCCTGCATTCCTTGCGTCGAGGGGCGGCAGCGCGCCGCTCCTCACTCCTCCTCGTTCCCTCCCATAGAGGCTCCCCTGCAGACTCTCCACATGGACGTGTGGGGCCCAGCCCGCGTCCAGGGCCAGGGCGGTGAGCGGTACTTTTTGCTGGTTGTCGACGACTACACGCGTTACACCACGGTCTTCACCTTGTGGCACAAGGCGGATGTCCGTGTTGTTTTGATCCCTTGGATCCGCGCTGTTCATCTCTAGCTCCGCGAGCGGCTCGAGTTGGACTTTCCTGTCCTGCGTCTGCACTCTGACAGAGGTGGTGAGTTCACCTCCGACCTCTTAGCAGCCTTCTGTGTGGAGCACGGCATCCGCTAGTCGTTCACGCTTCCGGCCTCTCCGCAGCAGAATGGGGTTGCTGAGCGCCACATTGGCTTAGTCATGGAGGTCGCTCGTACCTCCATGATCCATGCGGCTGCCCCCCATTTTCTGTGGCCGTTTGCGGTTCGGTACGCCGCGCATCAGCTCAACCTCTGGCCCCGTGTCTCCTTGCCGGAGACCTTGCCCACACTGCTGTGGACGGGGGAGGTTGGCGATGCGTCGCGATTCCGGGTCTGGGGTGCTCGTGCCTTTGTCCGCGATACCACCACGGACAAGCTCTCCGCTCGCGCCATTCCCTGTGTCTTCCTTGGATTTCCTCCCAACACGCCTGGCTGGCAGTTTTACGACCCCGCCTCGCGCCGTGTCTTTGCGTCTCAGGACGTCACCTTTGACGAGTCAGTCCCCTTTTACCGTCTCTTTCCCTACCGCACTGCCTCTCGCCCCCCCCCGCCGCTCTTTCTCGCTCCAGGTCCTTCCCAGGTAGACTCCCTCCCCGCGCCAAGTCCTGCTCCTTCAGGTGTTTCTCAGGTACACCCTCCCGTGTCTGCGCCGATTGAGGTCACTGGTGACTCAGGTCCTGCTGGGGGTGAACCTGCTCGGGGTGTTGTCTCTGGGGGTGCTGTCTCTGGGGGTGCTGAGCCTGGGGGTGCGGAGCCTGAGCGTGAGGAGCCTGGGGGTGCTGAGCCTAGGGGTGCGGAGTCTGGGGGTGCTGAGCCTGAGCGTGAGGAGCTTGGAGGTGCTGAGCCTGGGGGTGCTGAGCCTGGCTGTGCTGAGCCTGAGCGTGAGGAGACTGGAGGTACTGCGCCTGGGGGTGCTGCGTCTGGGGGTGCTGAGCCTGAGCGTGAGGAGCCTGGGGGTGCTGAATCTGGGGGTGCGGCGCCTCAGGGTACTGAGACTGCTGCTGCGCGGTCTCCCTAGAGTGGCCGCCTTCGTCCACGTTTGCCTCTATCCCCGCAACAGCTGCACGAGTGGTACGCTCGCCGTAAGGGTCGCACTGTTGGAGCTCGGGGCTCTGCCGCTGAAGGTGCTTCTGCTGACGTTGTTGAAGCTGGGAGTGGTACTGGTACTTTGTCTACCGGAGGTGCTGGAGTCGCTGGTTTCGGAGGTGCTCGTAGCTGCTGGAGGTGCTGGAGCTGCTGGAGGTACTGGAGCTGCTGGTGCTGGAGCTGCTGGTGCTGATGGCACTGCGCAGCCACGACTGTTCTTCGCTCCGCCGTCTCCGTCGTCTCTGCCGCCGCCTGACTCTGTTCTTCGTCAGGTTCTTACCCTCCCGCTGCCTGCTCCTCCTCCTTAGACTGAGCAGACGGGAGGTCTTGCTGATCTTCGTGAGCCTGCGTCACGTCCAGTCTCGCCAGTTCGCACTGTCCGCACTGGTCATACGGGTAGTCGTGTTCCTCGTCCGCGTCCGCCGGCTGTCCCCGGCACACACCTCATGGCTCAGCGTCCTCCATCTGCTCAACAGCGTGTTCGTCTGCAGTCTCCTCGTTCCTCATCTCTGCCTGACGTTGCCGACCCTGAGTCTGACCGGTTTCGTGCTGCACACCCTACTGTCACGCGTCTGTTAGCCACTGTTGTCACTGACCCGTCGTTTGAGTCTGCTGCTGCGTCTACCTTAGTCGCTGAGCTTGTTGACTTTGCTGCTGCCTGTCGTCTAGACTACGCCGCTAGTCTTGTTGCTGAGTTTGAGTCTGTCTGTCCTCCGTCCGTCGCGGGTGAGTGTGCTCTTGGCACGGACGTCCTTAAGGACAGGCAGGAGGACCTTGAGTGTCTTGCAGCCGCTGCGCCCCATCTCGTGGCCATGCTGCTTGCCCCTGAGGGAGACCCGGATGCACCAGACATCCCGACCCCGTGCTCTTACGAAGAGGCGATAGCTGGTCCCTAATCCTCTCAGTGGCAGACAGCCATGGACGCAGAGATGGCATCTTGGAAGTCCACAGGCACCTACGTCGATGAGGTTCCCCCTCCTGGGGCGAACATCGTCAATGGCATGTGGATTTTCAGGGTGAAGCGGCCGCCGGGTTCTCCGCCTGTCTTCAAGGCTCGTTACGTTGCTCGAGGCTTCAGTCAGCAGGAGGGAGTTGACTTCTTCCGGACCTTCTCCCCCACCCCGAAGATGACCACTCTTCGGGTGCTGTTGCACGTTGCCGCTCAGCGTGACTACGAGCTTCACTCTCTCGACTTAAGCACAACCTTCTTACAAGGCAGCCTGCACGAGGAGATCTGGCTGCGCCGCCTACCTGGCTTCACTGGGTCGTTCCCTCCTGGTACCTAGTGGTGTCAGAATAACTGAGCAGGAATGAAATGAACTAGCACAGAGTTTGGTACAAGTAGGAAACCCTAACTTTGTGTACCCCCTAAGGTGTAACCCACTACAGCCTACACAATATAAACATACAATGTTTGACACACCCCCATAGGCGCAGTGGGAGACAACCACAGGGTCACAAGACCAGTCAAAGCAAAGCAAAGCAAGCTCAGGGTGGATCTCAAGGATTCCACACAAATTCCGAGCACAAGCAAGCGGTCACAAGACCAGTTCACATGCAGGTTTATAACAAAACAAGAGATACAGTGATCACAACCTAGCAAAAGTAAACAAGTAGGCATATATATATAGTGATTACAGTCCAAGCAAGGTCAAGAGGTAAGCAAGTGAGGCCCAGTAGGTACAAGGCCTAGCAGTGTGCAAAAGCGCTGATGGTCACAAGGCTGAAGCGCCTTGGTGAACACATCAGCAGTGTTGGCCTCCGTGGCCACGTAACGCAGACAAAGCTGACCACGCTGCTGCAGCTCTCGAGCAAGGAAGTACCGCAGAGCGATGTGCTTCGTTCTGTGCTCCAGTCTGTGCTCCTCACACAAGGCAATGGCAGCCTTGTTGTCGACGTACAGCACTGGAGGAGAACGAGGCCGCTCTCCGAGGTCGGTCAGCAGGTAGGTCAGCCAGCGTAGCTCCTGAGCAGCCATGGCTGTGGCGTAGATCTCAGCCTCACAACTGGAGCTGAGAACAGAAGAAGAGCGAGTAGAACGCCAAGAGACTGAGCCAGAGCCAAGGCTGAAGGTGTAACCCTGGGACGACCGCTGAGTAGCCTGGTCGTCTGCCCAAGAAGCGTCTGAGTGCCCTGTGAGAACAACCCGGTCTCGCCCTCCAAGCACAAGCCCCATGCCCGACGTACTGCACAAGTAGCGCAACACCCTCTTAGCAGCATCCATGTGCTCCTTCCGGTGACGGCCAGGAGCGACATAGCGTGCTAGGATGCTAAGAGGGTATGCAAGGTCAGGTCGAGTGCAGGTCATCAGGTACATGAGGCAGCCCACAAGCTCTGGATACGGGCCACTCGGCTCTACGGACTCATCCGAAGGCAGAGCTGAGAGCGAGTGACCGGTAGGCAGAGGAGTGGACTGAGGCGAGGAGTACGTGAAGCGGAAGCGCTGAAGAATCTGCTGCACCATGTGTGACTGAGTCAGGGTGATGGTGCGCCGTGCTCTGTCCCGGGTGATCCGCAAGCCAAGATAGCTCGTCAGCTCACCCAGGTCTGTGCACGTGTGTCTCCTCTGCAGCTCCGACTTCACGTGGGCGAGTGCCGCGGTGTCAGCAATGGCAAAGACCAAGTCGTCGACGTACACGAGGATGTAGAACAGCGGCAGCGAGGTGTCGGTGCGTAGAAACAGCGACGGGTCAGCAGTAGAGGGAGCGAACCCAAGAGCCGCAAGTGTCGTCCTCAGTGTGTCGTGCCACTCACGTGGCGCCTGGCGGAGACCGTAGACCGGCCGCTGAAGCCTCCACTGGGTGCCAGGAGGAACTGACCCAGTGAAGCCAGGGGGGCGGCGCAGCCAGATCTCCTCGTGCAGGCTGCCCTGCAAGAAAGCAGTGCTGAAGTCAAGAGAGTGAAGCTCGTAGTCGCGGTGAGCGGCTATGTGCAGCAGCACCCGAAGAGTAGTCATCTTCGGGGTGGGGGAGAAGGTCTGAAAGAAGTCTACTCCCTCTCGCTGACTGAAGCCTCGAGCCACGTAGCGCGCCTTGAAGACAGGCGGAGAACCCGGCGGCCGCTTCACCCTGAAAATCCACATGCCACTGACGATGTTCGCCCCAGGAGGGGGAACCTCGTCTACGTAGGTGCCTGTGGACTTCCAGGAAGCCATCTCTGCGTCCATGGCTGACTGCCACTGAGAGGAGTAGGGACCCGCCATCGCCTCAGCGTAAGAGCGTGGGGTCGGGATGTCTGGTGCATCCGGGTCTCCCTCAGGGGCAACTAGCAAGGACACGAGACGGGGCAAAGCAGCAGCAAGGCAGTGGAACTCCTCCTGTCTGTCCTCAAGGACGTCCGTGCCGAGGGCACACTCACCCCCGACGGACGGAGGACAGGCAGACGCAGACTCAGACTCAGCGACAAGGCTGGCAGCGTAGTCTAGGCGACAGCGAGCAGCAAAGTCAACCAACTCAGCGACCAGAGCAGACGCAGCAGAGGACTCAAAGGTCGGGTCAGTGACAACTGTAGCGAGGAGACGCGTAACAGTGGGACTGGCAGCACGACGGGAGTCAGACTCCGGGTCAGGAAGAGTAGGAAGAGAGGACGCAGGAGGAGACGGCAGCGGGACACGCTGAGGAGCAGTGGAGGGACGCAGAGTCATGTAGTGAGTGCCAGGGACAGGAGGAGGACGCTCACGTGGGACACGACGACCAGTGCGAGCAGTACGAACAGGCGACACAGGACGAGACTCAGGCTCACGACGCTCTGTAAGACCTCCTGTGGGACCAGCGTAAGGAGAGGGAGCAGGGAGAGGCGAGGCAGGCGGTAACTGTGACTGCGGCTGGACAGGCAGAGGACACTCGACTGAGGGAGGAGGACTAGGAGGAGGAGCCTGACCAAGAACCTGCTGAAGGAGTGGTACGAAGTACGGTCGCGGCCGCGCAGCGTCTCCAGAAGCAGCAGGGACACCAGTGGCAGCCCCAACGCCCGAGTCCTCAGCACCAGCAGCAGCTCCAACGCCTGGGTCCTCAGCACCAGCAGCAGGGCCACCGGTCAGGTCCTCAGCACCAGCAGCAGCGCCACCGGTCGGGTCCTCAGCACCAGCAGCAGCTCCAACGCCCGGGTCCTCAGCACCAGCAGCAGCTCCAGCGTCCGGGTCCTCAGCACCAGCAACAGCACCACCGCTCGGGTCCGCAGCACCAGGAGCACCACTACGAAGACTGCAGCGCCGCGTGTACCACTCGCGGATCACCTGAATGGGGGGGAGCTCCTGGGTAGGAGGGGAAGTACCGGGACGAGCTCCAGAAGCACCTCTCCGGAGGCGGCAGTACTCGAGGTACCTCTCCTGCAGCTGCTGGGAGGAGGGGGCTCCTCCAGGTGGAGCACGCTCAGGCTCAGCACCCCCAGACTCAGCACCCCCAGACTCAGCACCCCCAGACTCAGCACCTCCAGGCTCCGCACCTCCAGGCTCCGCACCTCCAGGCTCCGCACCTCCAGGCTCAACACCCCCAGGCTCCGCACCTCCAGGCTCAGCACCCCCAGGCTCCGCACCCTCAGACGCAGCACTCCCAGGCTCAGCACCCCCAGACGCAGGACGCGAGTCAACAGCTACCTCGACAGGCTCACCTGGGTCTACCTGGGACACACCTGAGGGAGCGGCACCCTGAGGGGGGAGGGGGTCTGGTACCTCAGCACCTGGAGCGAGGAAGAGAGGCGGGGGGGGAGCGGGGCAGTGCGGTAGGGGAAGAGGCGGTAGAAGGGGACGGACTCGTCAAAAGTGACGTCCTGAGAGGCCAGAACCCGGCGCGAGGTGACGTGGTAAAACTGCCATCCAGGCGCGTCGGGAACAAAGCCAAGAAAGACACAGGGAACAGCGCGACGCGAGAGCTTGTCCGCGGACGTGTCGCGGACAAAAGCTCGAGATCCCCAGACCCGGAAACGCGACGCATCGCCAACCTCTCCCGTCCACCGTAGAGTCGGGGAAGTCTCCGGCAAGGAGACACGGGGCCAGAGGTTGAGCTGATGCGCTGCGTACCGGACCGCAAACGGCCACAGAAAGTGGGGAGCAGCCGCATGGGTCAGGGAGGTACGAGCGACCTCCATGACCAAGCCAATGCGGCGCTCAGCGACCCCATTCTGCTGTGGAGAGGCCGGAAGCGTGAACGACTGCTCAATGCCGTGCTCAGCACAGTAGGCTGCCAAGAGGTCGGAGGCGAACTCACCACCTCTGTCAGAGTGCAAGCGCAGGACAGGAAAGTCCGAGTGAAAGCGCTTGCCTAGCTGGAGACGGGCTCGGCTGATCCAGGGGATCAAAACACCAGGGACGTCACCCTTGGCGCGCAAGGGGAAGACCGTGGTGTAGCGCGAGTAGTCGTCAACAACTATCAGGAAGTACCTCTCCTGACCCTGACCACGGACGCGGGCTGGGCCCCACACGTCCATGTGGAGCGTCTGCAAGGGAGCAGTCGTCGGGGGAAAGGAGGAGGAGTGAGGAGCGGCGCGCTGCCGCCCCTCGACACAGGGAATGCAGTCAGGAGCAGGGGAGTCGGGAAGGGGAGGGAGCACCCTGGGAAGACCAGCAACAAGGTCCCGTTTGTGCATGGCCCGAAGGCGCTGCACAGACGGGTGACCAAGGCGGTGGTGCCAGAGGACAGTCTCATGCGCCAGAGAGCGACATGAGCAGGGGGCGGACATCTGACCTGACGCAGACGCAGACGCAGCTACCTGAGGGGACTCAGTGGTCAGTGTGTACAGGTCCGACCCCGGCTCCCGAGTGAAAGTAGCCAGGTGGCGGCCCGTCCGAGCACACGTGCAATGTGTCACACGCTCGTAGGCAGGGGTGAACTGGTGAACACCCCCGTCCTGCAGAGCACAGCCCGCCACCAAGTTCGTAGAGAACGAGGGGAGGTAGAGACCTGAGAGCGTGCCGGACGGAACCGCTGGACACGGAAGTGTAGTGGAGGAGGTCGTAATGACCGGACCCCCAGAGGGGTCAGCAAGAGAGACAGCAACCGGCCGAGCTAGTGGCTCAAGGACAGTGCGGTCACGAAAGAAAGAGCGAGAAGCACCTGAGTCCAGTGTGAAGGTGTGCAGTGCAGCAGTCGACTCAGTACCAGGGGGCACAGACGCACTAGCACCTAGGGCAGCTGCTGCAGCAGGACCTGTGGGAGCAGACACACTAGCACCTAGAGCAGCAGCTGGGCTGGCCTGAATGCCCGGGTCGGGCGGAACACGCAAGTACTGAGCACCCTCTCCACTAATAGACATTGCATACATGGCAGTGAGAATAGCATCAAAGTCTAGAGCCCAGATATCAACACCCTTCTTTTCCAGATCAGCCCAGCGCGGCAGCTCAGTGGCGTCAGGAAACTGGGTGCGCCACGCGTCGTTGAGGCGCGCGAAGCAGCGCTGCGTCTGGTGCGGTCTCCCACACGTCTGGCCAGTGCGGTCGCCTGTGCGAATAACATACGTGCAGGTAAAACCGCGCTGCGCATACCACTCTTGGGCGGCCTGAAGCGTCGGGGAAGGCTGCTGACTCTGGCCTCCGCCCGTGCCTCCACGACCACCACCTCCTCCGCCTCCGCCCCGGCCACCTCCACCCCTGCCGCTGCCACGACCACCTCCGCCTCCGCCGCCGCCTCCGCCCCTGCCACCACTCCCACCGCTGCTGTCACCTCCCCCACTACCGCCACTAGCCTCCCCAGTCGCGCCTCCACCGCCACCACCTCCACCCCCGCCTCCTCCGCCGCCACCCCCACCCCTGCCCCCCTTGCTCCTGCGGCGCCCGCCCGAAGCAGACGCAGTCTTGACCTTCTCAGCACCAAGGAGGTCGACAGCAGCAGCAGAGGCGACAGAGGGGAGGAGGGGGGAAGGGGAACACCCCTCAAAGAAGGGGCCGCGAGGGTCGCCACGAGAGGTGCCTACAGCGACGATACTGGCCTCAGCTGCAAGCAGTTCCTTCTCGAGGAGGGCTACGGTGAGCTCGGTGGGGGAGCGAGAGAGGAAGTGGTCCCTGACTGCGCGGAGAGAGTCAGGGAGGCGAGTGACGATGTGGTAGAGAGTGATCCAGAGCGGGGGGGGGTTGCTAGCGAGGAACTCGTCAGGCATGGCAGCGCGAAAGCGGGCCTCACTAGTCTTAAGGTGGGTGATGAGGTCTGCGACAGTGTGAAAGGAGGCCAGGTCGGGGAACAGGTAGGGGAGAGTGAGGCGGCCTAGCGTGGCAGAAGCGGGTGAGGAGTAGCGGGCAACGACAGCGGTGTACAGTTCCTTAGCAGTCTTGCACTGGCTGAAGTGCTCGCGCTCATCTAGCGGCAGGGAGTTGCGTATGGCGAAGCGAGCGTGCGCGTCACGGGTCTGCCACTGTGAGCGCTCAGTGGGGGGAGCAGTAGTAAGAGGGGCAGTAGCGTGGCCGAGAGCATGGTCGTACAGAGAAATATCCTCCTTGGCCGTGAGCTGTAGGAACAGGTGTAGGTCATCGAGCCAGGTGTCGAACTTCACCGGACGGCCCTCGGCGTCGAAAGCTAGAACGGGAGGGCTAGCCAT